GCTGCTTATAATTTGCTGCTCTACATGCTGGCTAGTCATGTAAGTCACTCTGCTGTGGATTCATTTCTAGGTCGAGAGCATGTCATTTTGGTTACAATTTTGTAACATTTGTCAAAAACAAAAACAAACTAACCGCGTTTCCAATAAATTTAGGTCAGCTAAATGAATCCTCTTTCTCCACTCCTATTCCATTCATGAATTTGTTCTTAATTTATCAAGACATCTTTTCAGGTCCTAGGGGCAGCATGGTATGTGCTGTCAGTTGATCGATACTTGTCTTGCTGGAGATCAGTATGCAAGAAAGAAATCAGCCCCACAAAATGCCTTTTTGAATATTTGGATTGTGACTCTTCCAACTACGATGTACGCAATAGTTGGGTTAAAACAACAAAAGTGTTCAGAAGTTGTGATCCTGACAATGATATTACTTTCAACTTCGGGATATTTAAGAATGCAGTTTCAAAGAATGTTGTCTCTTCAAGTTTTCTTCAAAAGTACTTCTATTGCTTGTGGTGGGGTTTGCAGAACCTAAGGTTTGATTTCTTCGTTATATCTGTATTTGACAAACTCCATGAATAATTTATTTGTATTGTCTTGGTTCTCATCCCAAAAGTGAAATGATCTTCTGGTTATTTTGTTATAATACGCTTCTTATAACTCTTCAACCTTGATTGTGGACTTGGTCAGAATCAAAATTGAACTAATTGATCCATTACATAATTAACTTTCAGCACTTGATACATGTTTGATAGTGATTCTCTTTTTCTTTTTGACAATCATTTATAGTATTCAACTCCCAGATGCATGCTCTGCTTTCACTTAGAACCTCGAGCATCAAATATATTGATATGTAGAGTGAAGTTACAAATGCTTTAGCTTCAGAAAATAAGCCTGTGTCAGGTTTTAAACACTCACTAAAAGTCAAACCACTTTTTATCCATATATTTGGTGAGACCCACAAGCAGTGCCCACTTATTTAACCACTTTTTATCCACATATCTACAAGTTAAATGAAACTGAAGCAACTTATCTCAATACATTTCTTTCTTTTGCTCAGTTCATATGGACAAAATCTGTCAACAAGCACATTTATTGGGGAAACGTCTTTTGCCATACTCATTGCTATCTTGGGTCTTGTTTTGTTCGCACATCTTATTGGAAATATGCAGGTAAGTGAAAAAGTTTTTCCATTTCTTCTTGAAGTTTGAATCCAAAAGGTTATGTATTGGTTGTTGCATACCAAAAGATCTTTGATAATTTCTCATATAACAAAATTGACACTGCAACTAATTTGTTTGAAAGGGTCATCGATTTGCATTCCTCTAAACCTTTACTCCAATCTATGATTTACTGGTGATGTTTCTTCATCTTATATACATAAAACCTAGTTATTCTCTAGTATATGAAGAGAGAGTTTGCTGCTTGCCTTTTTGCATTTTTCAAGCTTAACTTAAACTAAGTTTAGTTTGATTAACCTTGTTTGAGTTTGGTGTCTCATTTAATTTTTTTCTCTGCCCTTTACTTCCCAAGATTCTTGCTGCTCTTTGGGGCCTCATTGATCTAGTTGCAAATCATGGAGCTTTGTAAAAGTAAGGTTTAACTATGAAGTTTTTGGGATTTAATTTGATAGTCATGTTGTAATATTTATTTAATGTAATTTGCAAACAAGGTTTAGTGTTTTGAACTTTGACCTGATGAGAAGCTTAAGAAGGATACCTAATTAATCAAGATTACCTGTAGTTTCGTGTAGTGCTAATATGAAGCCCATATTTTAGGCTAATGTCATTTAATTTAGAGGTTTTTGAGCTCAAAAGTATGAGCTTAAGTCAAAATAACATCTTTTATCAATTTTGTCAATAACTTCTTTCTTAATATTGTCAAAATTTCCCACCGTTGACTTTTGGCTTGTTATCTTTTCCGAACAGTATGATTGAAATACAACTACCTCACTTCAAGAATCCATTTTCACTTATTCAGTTATTCTAAAAATTTCAATTACAAGAGTACTGAGCTCTTGAAACCTGAAAAAGAACTTTGTTTATATAGAAACTTTTTCATATGTGGAAGTTTTTCTTGACATCTAGAAGTCTATCTGCTTGGATCAAATGTCTGTTATATTGCTTTTGTGTCTGGATGCCATGAAATATTTTACAAAGCGACATAACTACATGATCATTAAGGGTGTGCTTGAGCCCCATTTTTAGGGAAAAAATGTTTTTGGAGAATGTGTTTAAGAAGTAGGAAAAAGTTTTGGATTTACGTATGAAATTATTTTATTGGGAGAATATGTGGTTGACAATGAGTTCGAAAAAAATGAATTTTGATAGAACGGGGCTCAATCAGGGCTAAAACTAATCATCCCTTCTCCTCATCTGAATTGTTTTAATTTTTATTACACGACTATTTTGTTTTAACTGATCTTCATTGGTAATCAATTGTTTTTAAGTGTATATTTTTGCTATATGTGACATCCTTTATAGTGATATCTTTCCCCCTCTTTTCTGATTTATTTCTATAGACTCCATGCTTTTGAACTGCAAAACCACCATTCCAGCTCCAAAAAAAAAAAAAAAAAAAGCATAGAAATAGGACCAATTCTGGTCATTCCCCTGTACTAGAAACCGTCCAGTTACTCCTGCATTGTGTAGTATTTGTCTGCACAAATCGGAGGAATAAAGAATAATTGAAAAAAAAAAAAAAAGAAATAGAAGAAATAAAATTCACCCAAATTTTAAACACCATGGTCGGTAACCTATTACCATTGCTCATGTTTGTCAAAATATTAATTGCTTATAAACTGGTCAAACTTTTATCCAAACATTCCGTAGGTTTCACAACCTTTTTAACCACACATTCCTTGGGACCCACTGCTTATTAACAATTATAAGCTTTTACAAATATGCACTTGATAGTAAAAAACACTATAACCCTCGTGTTTTCTCAGCTGAACTTGCATACTTATCAGTAATATAATACTCTATAGATCAATATTCACAGGTTGAAATATGCATTTATGACATGGGTTACTTTTCCCATAATGTTCATATTTGGCTTGCAAATCATCTGAACTTTAATCTTCCTATGACTTTGATCAAGAATATCAAACATTTTAGGGAGTTCTTTTCCCGTTTCCACGTGACCCGGGGACTTGTATATTGCTTTTTCTTTACAATATTTTATGTTTATCATTCTAAACAAGTGTGATTCTTTTCCATTTTTTTCTGCATATAGACATACCTGCAGTCTTTAACAATAAGGCTCGAGGAATGGAGACTTAAGCGAAGAGACACTGAGGAGTGGATGCAGCATCGTCAACTTCCAGAAGATTTGAGGAAACGTGTTCGACGGTTTGTTCAATACAAGTGGCTTGCAACTCGAGGAGTAAATGAAGAAACTATTTTACGTGGCTTACCCACCGATCTCCGTCGTGATATACAGTGTCATCTGTGTTTGGACCTTGTTCGACGTGTATGATTTCCCAACTATATTTTTTCATTGAAAAGAATTCTGAAAGTTTTCTTGAATCATGGAATTTCGGGCAAAATAATATGCCACAGTAGTTGTCCCATTGAAACACGAAGCTCAAGACTGACGAGGTCCTTTTATGCTTCCTCACGTGATAAACTTTGGTTTTTTTGGTCCAATTCTCCAGGTTCCATTTTTCTCGCAAATGGACGATCAATTGCTTGATGCGATATGCGAGCGCCTAGTCTCATCCTTGAGCACCGAGGGCACATATATTGTACGTGAGGGTGATCCCGTGACAGAGATGCTCTTCATCATCCGAGGTCGACTCGAGAGTTCTACCACAAATGGAGGGCGGACGGGTTTCTTCAATTCCATTACCCTGAGACCAGGAGACTTTTGTGGGGAGGAGCTACTTGCATGGGCTTTGCTACCAAAAGCAACTGTCAATTTGCCTTCTTCGACTAGGACAGTGAGAGCATGTGTTGAAGTCGAAGGTTTTGCATTGCGAGCCGAAGATCTCAAGTTTGTAGCTAATCAATTTAGACGACTCCACAGCAAGAAGTTGCAGCATACATTCCGTTTTTACTCGCACCACTGGAGAACGTGGGCAGCATGCTTCATACAGGCTGCTTGGCTACGGTACAAGAGGAGGAAGATAGCAAAAGAACTTGAGACCATGGAATCATTTGCATTGGACGAGATGTCAGCTTTGGACTCCAAAGCGGTAGAACAGAATGAGAGCTCTGAGGGTTCGAACTCTGGTCGGATATCAAAACTTGGGGTCACAATTTTGGCTTCAAAATTTGCTGCAAATACAAGGAGAGGTGCTCAGAAGATTAGAGACTTAGGGACCCCAAAACTACAGAAACCCGAAGAGCCTGACTTTTCAGCCGAGACAGATGATTAGTTACATCAGCTCCACTGTACACCAGGAACTCGTTTCACATCCAAAGGCATATGTTCCCTGCAGTATAGAAACATTCAAATCAACGGCTGACATTGTAAACGCTCACACGAAGTACATTCTAATTTTGGAATGTAATATATGGTATTCTGTATCATGCGCTAGCAGCAGGTCGAACAAGTTACAATATTTAATGGAAGGATGGATGCTAGGTTGCCTTTCTGTTCATGTTATTTTATATCTATTTCATAGGATCTGCAGCAGGCTGGATGAGTAAAATTTACAATCAACTATATGTAACACTGTCAGTGTAACTACTTAATCAACGAGAATACGAGCTTGTAGAAATTCCTTTTTGTTTAACTGCTAACCATTTAGATGGGACCGACATTTAAACCTCTGATTAGGGATGAGCTTACATGAAGATAGGGGTGAGTCAATCTTGAATAGAATCAGAATAAATTTGAGCTCTGTATAATTAAATTCAATGTATCACAGTAAAGAAGTTGCAGTATTCAGCAGCTAAGACCGAAAAGAAACAGAACCTGATTGAATTAGAAAATACAAATGAACTATCATCGTGTCATCTAGATGTTACAATTACGAAAAAACTTATAGCACTTTTTTGTCAATATTTATCAATGTCATAGAACTCTATATTCTTGTACTTCTGAGAAATTATCTCTGCTTGAACTTTTCTTGCTGTGTCTGTTGCACAACCTACAAGAATGAGAACTGACGTGCCTGCAAATCCCCGAAATGCAGTCAGATGGGTAGCTTGTTCAATCACAGCAGGACCAGCAGCCAGGATTGCCAAAAACGCAGAACCAAGGACTGATATGCGACTCAAAACCTGTAATTTTCAGTAGGAAAGACATAAATGTCATGTTTGGTGAAGTAGATTAGATAACACTGTATAATAATAATTCTAACACCTTATGCCAAATATGCACAACTTCAATTACATTTATATTGAATTAGAAGCAATACAACCAAGGAACATACAGGTTCCAAGTAACATGAACTGTACTTAACGCAGTCAATCAGTATATGAGATCTTAAAATAGGTCAAAACAGGATCGGAAGTAAGCATTTGGGGTGCCATGAAAAGGATATAGATTCAAGAGATTTACAATTTTCACAACGTCTCACAGACTTGACAACACCATCATGAGTCGACGCAATTCCTTGAGAGAACATTTTCTTTTTCGTGGTCCAATGTGGTATGGAACTCTTTACGGGAGCATCCAGTCCCTTCCTTATAACATAGATTATAAGCAACCATTCTAAATTTCTTGTCGCAGTTGGCAATTTCATATGTATGAGAAAAAATTTCAGCATTCAACTCAATCTCATGAAATAGATTCACAACTTCGATGACTTGGATTTGAATCTATGCATCATATCTAGAAGACAAGATTATTAAGAGAATATGGATCAATGAGTAGCACTAATTTTTGGTTATTGAGTTGCTCTCGTGGTTATTGGGGGACAATCCATCAATTTCTTCATTTACCCAATTTTTGGAGATGGATAGAAATGCTGTCAATGAGAGGCTGAAGGGATGGTTGGGTGAGCAGCTCACCAAAATTTCAACTTGGTGAAACTAAAATGAAGCAACATTGAGGAAGGGCATATTATTACTTAAAGTACACAAGGGGAATCGACGAAAATGACAAGCGAAGACTACCAAATTGATTTCTACCTCTGATTACCCAAAGAAAAATTATAAATAATGCTCACTAGACAAAAATTATGAAGTAAAAATAAAGTATTAAATGAAGCAGAATGTCACCATTTTGATGAATGCAGCTGTACTTTTTCCTGGCCGGACAAGAGGGATTGAGGCACCTTGCCTCTTTAACTGTTCACTGACATCATCAGGGTCCAATTGCAGAAATGTGTAGTAGTAGTTGAAGAAGGCTATTAATAGAATGTTGGTCGGCAGATAAAAAGAACCTGAAACATAATTTCTAATCATTCCCAACTGTAATGAAATTACATATTTCAGCAGAAATCAATATCTGTAATCTTTTTAGAAGTATTATAACACTACATTATTTTGCCCTATCTTTTATGACTTCCAGTGATTAATAACTTTTTGATGATTTCTGAAAGAGAGATTCCATAAAAGAAAAACAAAGTATCAATATCACAGAATGTCAATTGCAATAGGATTTTCACAAAATAAGTGTGGAACAGTGAATCTACAGGATAACATGGCATAAAATATTACTTAACCTAACAGTTTTCTATGAATTACTTGTAATTCAGTTTTTTACTTTCTTTACTTGAATGACAGTCGAAAGGATCCCTTCTGAGCCCGTCTAGTGATCCCTTAGAGGGATTGTAAAAGAACATAAAAAATAAGAAGAAATGAACATTTTGCACAATAAAACAAACAATCAAGTTCTAGAAGTGAGTATAAGGTAGTGTATCAGAATAAATATAATAGGTTTGTCAAGTATAATTTTGAGGTCCTGCTGAAATTGTGGATAAGAGATGAACGCCCACACTGGATATGGACTGAACAGTCCGAACTGATATAGCCGAAGCTAATTTGAGAAAAGCTCTTCGTAAGAAAATATCTCGAGAAATCTATGATGATAGAATTAGGTAAGTATTAAGATGAATGACATGGAAATATCCTTGACATTGCCAGCCTAATCAATCCACTACAAATGCTTCAAAAGGTTGGCAATGGGATTACTGTTATTTAGTCTACGCCAGAACATAAACACCACTAAATACAGAATAGAGACGAAGTTATTTTTTATCATACCCCCGGGGTTCAAAGCTGCAGCAGCATTCTTTAGGACACCCAAACCAGTAAAGCGTGCAAGTGTTCCTGGAAGAGCCAAGGATGAAGTGGAGAAGATAATTGGCATCACTCCCGAACTATTCACCTGCTCAACAATTACTGCTAACATAATCAAGACTATAATCTTTGGCAGAAAACAACTGTAATAAAATATGAAGTGTAGAACACCAGGAGATATTAAAATAACTAAATAAATAAATTAAAAAAAACCAGAAATTTAAAATAAGAGAAAATAATTGACAAATTAATGAAAACAAATAAAGATTTTAGGCTAAGAAAGAAGTTTCAAGGGGATTGTCCAGGAGATCAATTTGGTGGAAGGATACAAGGTTAGGTGTAACCTCACCAGAAGCAATAGTATGAGATTGAATCAACGATATCAATTTAACTAGGAAATTAGTCAAGTATAAGCAGAACTTTTGAATTTAGTATTGCACGAATCCCGCCACAGTATTTCGGGGTAAAGTGAGTCAAAAATAATTTCCAGCAGTTCTCACGAGGTAGTTAAACAGGCATATTTTCCAAATGAACAAAAATAAAAAATAAAAAGTGGAAAGGTAGTGGTATAAAAATCAATATACGTCTATATAAATATAACGAAATTCAAGATGGTCTGTTAGCTATCAACCTTAAATGGTAAGTAAGCAGATTTTTCAAGTCCCCCAGTTCTGCTGGTGAATCTTGAAGCATAATTAAGCGGAATTTTCCTCTCTGCTTCCTGAACCCTTTGTTGAGAAAATTAGTAACTCCTCCTTTGCTTTGACCACAAAACCATATTTGTATCACTTTTGAATATTACTAATAGGACTTACCTGAACATACACAATGCTAAGGACTAAGAGGAAGAAGGAAACAATGGTGGCAATAAGTCCAACATAGTTACCATCCTGAAAAGCCTGTGCAACTGTCCTCCCGAAAGATGCTGGCAAGTAGGAGATAATATTTGTGAAGATCAAAAGAGATGTACCATTCCCAAGCTTTAAGTCAGTTATTCTTTCCCCAATATATGTTGTAAAAACTGAACCAAGAGTCAACAAAATAACAGAAGTGAGAGCCCACTGAGTACTGAAGTCGTTGACATAAGGGCGAAGAAAGAGCACTTGGCCAATTGCCTGCAAAGACAATAAAATTTTAAGATTAGTAAATATTATATTAATTATATCTAACATCCAACTTTTAAGGTACAATACAAAAGTCAATACTGGTTTCCTGGTCAATCACTCAAAATTTAGCCATATACTGTAGCCTCACCAGATTTTAAATCTCTCAATCAGAATCCACAAAGTACTTTTGTGCATAACTAAACTTAAACAGGATAAATTCATATTCAACAAGCATACTATATGTAACTGAGAACACAAGTAAAAGTCGCTTATTTATGCTACGTACAATATATAGCGTCTGGATATGACATCATTTACCTGTACTATGGCAAATCCAACAGAAGCATAGCGAGTGTACTGAAGAATTTTCTTTCTTCCAGCCTCGCCTTCTCTTTTCTGGAGTTCTTGCAACTTGGGGTATATTTGTGTGAGAAGCTGAAAAACAATCTGTGCATTGATAAAGGGCACAATACCAAGAGAGCAAATTCCAAGCCGACCAATGCCTCCTCCAGAAAATGAATCTAAAGTGCTCAATAGACTGTTTTGATCTAGATTACCAACAAATGCTTCTCGATTTACACCACCAAGAGGTATGTATATTCCAAGCCGTGACACGGCAAGATAGCCCAAGAGCTTAAGAAACTTTTCTGGTAGTGGGCCTTTGAAGAAATCGCCAAAATCAATGCTAGTGTCCTCAATTGCAGCTGGCAAAATTCGAATAGACATAATCAATGGTTAGAGATGAAGGTAATGTTCTTTAGTAGATATAATCTAATAAATATTTATGCTGCACAACAGACCTGCCACTCCTCTAGCTGATGAAGCTTTTTCCTTTCTAGTATTTGAGGCACTCTCAAGTGCTTGAGAAATTGAGGCCCAGGCATCTTTCCAAGCAGGTTTTGTATCTAATAATCCATCTGAATTAATTCCCAGTGGATCAAATTCAGAACTCTCACAGCTGAGGAAATTTACAATCAGAAAAGGGAAATTTTTGACAGGTTCAATATAAATAATATTCAGAAAATGAACAATATAAAGAAGTAATCAAGAAATAATTATTGAAGAGAAAGTACAGCAGTAAATTGAATGCTGAAAAGATCAGTCTGAATTATATGGATATATAAAATCAACTGAATTCTTGGCATCACTCTTCAAGGCAATAGTTTTTCAAGAAGAAGAATGGGTTATGATTTCACTCACTTTAACTAATGGAACAAAGAAATCTAATAGTCTCAGTGTGGAGTTTAGTGAGACTACAGGTCTGCATTCTCCACTTTTAATGAACCTATAAAAGTAAATAAAATAACCATCAATATCTGTAGTTCCCCATGAAATTGAGGCCTCTACTCTGGAATTCGAAACAATAATATAAAGTTAAATTTTCAAAATCCAATCTCAAGACCTAATGTGATTCAAGACATTATGCCACTAGTAACCTTCAAATTGTTTAGCTCACAATAAAACAAGCATGTAGCTAATGGACCGGCATTTCACTTGACAAGGAATTTTTACAAAATGATATTAAATTAATCAATTTTTTTATTCCACCATAAAATTCAAAATGATTCACAACGGGAAACAAGGAGAGAAAAGAAGAAGGAAAGAAGAAATAAAAGTATGGGAGAGGAACTCCAGGGATTAAGGAAATAATTTTAATATTACTAAATATTAAATCAATTTTCTATCTTATTCAAAAATCTAAATCCTGTTTATACTTGAGATTCGGCAAAACAGTAAAATGGAAAATTGAATAATTTAAAACAGTGTGCACCAATAATAAGCTTTTTATTTTCATTATTAAAGTACTTTTTCATCTTATCTCATCATGTAAGTTATGAATATGGACAGCAAACGTTCGAGATGAAGAAGCAAGATACAATCAATAGGAAAGGGCATAAGGTTGCTAATGGATTTGTTGGAATAGAACTGGAGTGTATAAAATGGTGTATTGTTTCTTAGCTTGATCATAAGGTATTAAAGATAAGGGACGAGACTATCTATCTTGGTTTCTACTGTGGAGTTTTGTTTGCCAAAAAATGTTCCTAGAACCTTTATTAAAAAAAATCTGATCTAAGTTCACAGGGGGGGCTCAAAGCAGGAACTAGTCTCGCTCACATACATTTTTATGGAGCATCACAGCTCACCTTGACCATAAAATGAATGATCCCAAGGATCACACTCAGAAGCAAAACTATCTCTATAAACTCTTCTCTGTAAGCAATATAATTCTTTCCTTCTTGTAAAATAATGAATGTTATAATTCCGAGTCAGTCTATAATATAAAAATAGAACAACATTGATTACCTAAATTACATTTAAGTATTCTAACAGCAAAAACTGGAGCTGTATATCATTCAATCTAAAGTTCAAAATAGCAGTAAAAATTTGATTCTCAAAAGAACAAAGGGAAACCGAAAGAACCCATCAAACAAGAAAAACTAAAACTTGAAATTGAAATAGGGCAATTGAGAGATATAACAAAAAGAACCAGTGAAGAACAATAATTAAAAAAATTTAAGACTTCAAGAGAGAAAAAAGAAAAATCAAAACTTGAAACACTGGAAATTAAAAAGAATAGAAAAACAAAAATTTCGAATTCCAAGGAAAAAGGATGCCCAGTGAAGAACAATAATTTGCAAGAAAACCTCAAAATTGGTAATAAACAATATGGGAAATTCTGAAAGTTTCATAAACATACCTTTGCTTAAGGTTCCATGAAGGGTCAGGCTTTCTCTGGACAGTAAGGGTGGCTCTGCAAATGGAGTTTTTACTGTTCTTCTGAAAGTAATTGCTGGGCTTATTATTAAAACACTGTTTATAATTGGAATGCAGTGAAAGAGAACTGATGGAACAAAGAGAAGAAGAAACTTCTCTGACTGTTATCAACATTATCTTCTACAAAAAAACACGCACACACCCAGTGGACTGTGAAGTTGAAACCTTAAAAACTAGGAAATTTGCGGTGCCTATGGATTTTCGATTATTTCAATATATTATTATTTTTTCTGTTTTTATTTTAGTTTTGGACATATGGGACTCATGGGCAGACCAGCATTAGGCCCATAATTATTAGCACCATACCCAAGACCAATATGAGTTGGGCCAAGTTTGGTTCCAAATCATTATGCTTAATTTGGAATGAATGGCACAAATAGCACTATAAAGACTTCTTTTGTTACAGTGCTTTAAGTAGGCTCCTTTCATGTAAAGTCAGAATTAGACCTAGTGTGGAGAAGGCGATTCTATTAATGGATTCAAATTTTGTTATGATTAACAATTACAGACGCTCGGACACTGCTCAAGCGGTTCGAAGTAGTCGTGCCGTGCAACATTTTGCCATTTTACACCTCGCCTCGGGTTTTCCAAATCGAAGACACATTTGGATTATGTGCACACAAATCAGTTTAATTACTAGTTTCGAACGAAACAAAATCAAGTATTTGAAGTAAATTTTTGCTATAAGCTAGACGCCTAATAGTTTTTTAACCTTGTAATAATTGATAGGTGTTGAGGGAATTATTACCGATTGATTTGCAAATCACTAATAAAGAAAGGTATCTATATTGAGCATGTATTTGAGATTGCCAACATCTTAAACTTTTGTGTTATAAGCGTTGCGATACTTTTTTGTAAACGTGTTGATAATGATGGTGGAAGGCTGGAAGGAGACGAGGTATTACAATTTGCTACTAATGTGACACATGATGAAGAAATAGTCAAGCATAATTTGATGGACGATGACCTAGTACCAAGTCAAAAGCCTTCCAGCTCGTTCACAAAGATTGTCGCTCTTTTTTTCTTCTTTAATACTGTCAAATTACATACTGTTACATCTTGAATTAGGCATTAGAAATCAAATTTGGCTGCAAAAACAAAGATGGTGAAATTAGGGTTGGTCCACACTCATATCCATGTATAGCACACCTCAAAAAAATGCAAGGAGGGTTGACACATGATGGAGGCCAATTTGGATAGATTCACATATTTATTATTATCTAGATCATGTTGATGTGAAGTCTATAAGCAGCTGCAGACAACTTGTTTCAATAGAAATTGGCAAGATAGATAAGTTCTCAAGTAGAGCCAACCTACATATTCCATCTTCATAATTCTTGAAAATACCCATTCAAAAAGGAAAAGTTGAAAAGAAAAAAGAGAGGATAAGACCTCCTTTTATGCCATAATAAACCTTTTATATGTATATATATATATATGATACATTGTACATGTAACATGCATACACATAGAAGTTCACACGATAAAAAAAAAAAAGTTTATAGGAGAAAAAAAGCACACCGTATTTTGTCTAATTTCTCTAATATTTTGTGACGATGCAAAACCCTAATTATGAAATTCTTCCTCACCCACTTCACTCGTCGTTATAGTGTACAATTCTTATATAAATAGTTAGATATACCTATATATAACCTTCTTTTCTTTTCTTTTTTTCTTTCTTCTTTTTAAATCAAACACTGTCAATTCTTCGACGGGATTTCTATTCCTACACACCTATAACTTAAAGATTATAGATCAAATGCTCTTAATTTAAAGGTTATGAACATTCCTTAGGCCTTTCATAATTGGGAAATCAAAACGAAGAAACAAAACATTTTAGTAATCCAATCAGAAAATTATAAAAAAAATCCAAAATGTAAAAATTATTATGACATCATATGAATCAAGAGTAAAAGAGGGACATCCCATGTTTACAATAACAAGAGGGAAATCCAAAACGCTTTTTTTTTGAAAAACATTGTTTAAATAGTTATTTTTTTAGAGAATGTGTGGTTAAAAATAGAAAAAAAATTGGATTTACGTGTAAAATAGTTATTGTGTGAATGTATGATTGAAAATGAGAACGTAGAAAAAAAAAAGAGTTTTGAAAGAATGAAAGATAGGGGCTAAATATATAAAACAATCCCAAAAAAATGCCTTAATATATAATAAGAAGAATGCCTCAAATTCAATGATCGAAAAGGTGGTAAGAGAATATTTTTATGTAATGATTAATGAAGTGAATGGGAGCAGTTTAAGTATATAAAAAGACCTAAAAATATTGAAAAGATGGTGAGCAAAGAAAATGATCATGCTGTGACTTGACATCTACTTGCACGATAATTAAGGTGCTAATATCCATTTATTGTAGTTTAATTAAGTACTATTTCCATTCTAGTAAAAACTTAAATTTTAAGTCAATAAGAATTTGATTAATGATGATGGTAAATATAAGACAATTCACTCACTCATTTTATGCATTTTTTTTCATTTATTGAGGGAATGCGTTTATTTTTTCTATTAATTCACGCTTTACCTTTCGTTATTACTGAATTGATATAGGATTTATGACTGAAAGAATACACAAGGCAACGAGTCATCATGTTGATGACCTCAACATAATTTGCAGTCCGACAATTAACAATTAGAGCGTGTCTGGTGCTGATTTTGGTTGAATTGTAATCAAAATTCTGACTGTTAGTAGGGCACGCATGTGAGATGGCCGGTCAAGGTTTGCGACTGAAGTGATATGCAACGGTAGGAAAATGAATTTTTTGGATCATTTTAATTGCTACCAGACAGGCTAAAAACTTTGCAAATTTCGTTATTTAAATATCATGGAAAATTACTAAACCAAAACATTAAAACAAATATTCACACTTGTATTAAAATAAAGATTTTTTTTTTGTTTTTTATTACAAAATTGATCTCATTGGTTTGTTTGTCTTTGATTTATTCCTTATATTGTCACATTCTTATGTATTTATCTTTGCTCTTAGAAAAGTTGAGAAAGGAATAAATTCACATGTCACCTCTACTTTTTGTGTAGAAAGTCTTTGTTGTCCTCTTCTTTAGAACTCAAGGATCTACATCTGATTATAGCTAGTGGCTTGTTGAGGGTTCGTTTGATTCTCATTATTGTAGAATGAGAATAAAAAATATAGTTGTTATTGTGTCCCACACAAGAGATATAAATTCAAAATTGATGGATTGATGTGATGGATAACGGTTATATTTATCATTTTTATGGATGAAAAATGGGACACAAACGGAGGCTGAATAAACCTTACACTTTTGGCGTTTCTCCCAAGTTTCAGTTCAAAGTGTGGTTTCCATGAAATTAATGAGTTTGTCAATCCGGTGTTTATGTTTC